AAAAGAATGTCCATTTCCCCTAGTTCTCATCAGTACTAGATAATTATCATCACATTTTCCAATTCTTGCAATCTAATAGGTGAACAGTAAGAACAGGTTCTTTTAGTTGTTTTTTTTTTTAAATTATGAGGATATTCCTCATTTTGGATTTACTTGATCACATGCTTTCTTGATTGGGTTCAGGTTAAGCATTTTTGGCATGAAAGTGTAAAGGCGATGTTTTGTTCTAGTGCACTCTGTGCACATTAGAAGCACGTGGTATCAACTTGTGCAGTTATTGGTAATTTCAATCATTAGGCTGAGATGTCTGTTGGACCTTTCCGATGTAAAGGCTTCTCATACCCTTTGCAAATTATACATAATCTGTGGGTCGATGCTTTGAGACTTTGTAAATATCCTGTTCCTCAACCATCTTTTACCCAGTAGTTTAGAGTAATGTAATTTATTGATATAAGTTCTCCACAAACTGTCACCTGTGTGTATATCCACATGGTCTGGATGCATCTGTACAGTCCTAGGTAATGTGGCATTCAATACCCTTGTTCAGTAATTTTCAGATTTCACTAAAATTATACATTAAAATTGTAGATTAACTGGTCTATTTCCTAGACTATGCCAGCAGGAGAGTTTGAAAAAGGTAGGAAGAAAATCATTAAATTGCAAGAGCCATTCAGTAAATGACTAAGAACTGGTCTGTGTAAGAAAGGATAGCCTCTGGGCTCTGACCACATAGGCACTCAGACACACAGCTGACGCCCTCTCTGCAGTCTTGCTTTTCACAGTGTCGGTTACCCACTGCGAACCATGGTCCTGGAGCAGACGACCCTCCCCTGACGCATTGTCAGAAGGTTGGTGTAGCCTAATGCTATGTCACTCCCCTCCCTTCATCTCCTCACAGGGCATTTTGTCATCTCACATCATCACAAGAAGGACGGGTGCAGATGGGTGCAGTAAGATATATTCAGGGAAAGAGAGAGAGAGAAACCAGAGTCATATAACTTTTATTATAGTGTGCTGTTGTATTTTTATAATTGTTCTGTCTTATTATTTGTTGTGGTTCATTTCTTACTGTGCCTGATTTATAAACTGAACTGTATCCTGGGTATGTGGGTAGAGAAAAAATGTAGCATATATAGGGTTTGATACCATCTGCAATTTCAGGCGTCCACCGAGGCTCTTGGAGCACAACCCAAGGGATAAGGGCGGACAGATGTGTACCCATACGGGCAATGAGGAGCAATGACAAGAGCACCTACTACTAGTACTACTACCTACTACTAGTATACTATCGGACAGTAAATGCCATCATTACTTATTTATTTATTTATTTAGGGCAAGAGTGGGAGTTGGGGGAAAGGGCTGAGGGAGAGGGAGAGAGGGAAGCTTAAGCAGGCTTCATTTGCAGCGTGGAGCCCAACGTGAGGTTTGATCTTAGGCCCCTGAGATCATGGCCTGAGCTGAAGTCAAGAGTCAGATGCTTAACCAACTGAGCCACCCAAGTGCCCCTGTCTTCACTTATTCAAAATGAGGTCTGGCAATCCTATAATCTGTATGGAACCACAGAAGACCCTGAATAGCCAAAGCAATTCTGAAGAAGAAGAGCAAAGCTGGAGGCATCGTGATTCCAGATGTCAAGCTCTATTGCAAAGCTGCAGTGTTCAAAACAGGATGGTACTGGCACAAAAACAGACACCTAGATCAATGGGACAGAATAGAAAACCCAGAAATAAATGCATGGATTTATTTCCATCCAACATGGATGGAGCTAAAGGGTATTATGCCAGTGAAATCAGTCAGTCAGAAAAGGACAAATACCACGTGATCTCACTCACATGTGCAATTTAAGACAAAACAAATGAACAAAGGGGAAAAAAAGAGTGACACAAACCAAGAAACAGACTCAACTCTAGAGAACAAATTGCTGGTCACTGGAGGGGAGGTGGAGAGGAGACGGGTTAAAGAGGTGGTGGGATTAAAGAGGGCACTGGTGGTGATGAGCACTGGCTGGTGTATGGAAGTGCTGAGTCCCTAAATTCCGTACCTGATGCTAATGTCACACTGTAGGTTAACCAACTAGATTTAAAAAAATAAAATGAGGTTTGGGTTTATAGATTTCAATGTTTATGGCCAAATGGGACAAGTGAGTAGAGTGAGGAATGAATAAATTGAAGTGAACATTTAGGAAAGTAGCAGGGAGAGCTGCGGATTATCGATTTAATTAACAAATAGATAGCTGAAACAGTTATAAAATGCTTATTTGTGCAACAAATTGAGTATGACAGTAAATCAGCACTTTGGGGGAAGAATGATCTGAATTACAGTGTGTGTCTTTGCATGTGTGTGCACATTTGTGTGTTTGTGTCTGGGTATAGATGTACAATCATTTGAGTCTCACAACTCTGCTTTATGTGAAAGCAGAGTGTAGCCTGTATTTTAAAAAATTATAGTAAGATGATATATGCAAATGAAAAAATATTTACACAGGTAAAATGACTATCATCTGTAATTAAAATTTTGTAAGAGAAAAAAATTAGTAATTTCTGATTTAAAAGCCAAGAGAATATTATATTAGAATTACTAAGAGTAATAATAATAATATATTAGAATTACTGTCAGACCCCAGGAGAGAGGAGAGCGTGAGGAGAACACAGGAGAAGGAAGACAGCTCACCATGGACAGAGTCGCTCCCTGCCTCGAGTGTGAGCCACCCCTTGAGAGACCGCCAGTCTCTGACGGAGAGGGAGGACGTGACAGACTGCCCTAAAGACAGGCTCAGCGCGGGGAGTGGCACTGAGGACCCCAGCTTAGGATGAATGCATTGTCTTGGTGCACAGACGGGGGCTTTTTGAAACTGATACAAAGGTCCGAGTGGAGGTGGAGGAAGGAGGGCAGCGCACTGCTCTCCAAGCACTTAGAGCAAAGGCTCACATTTCCAGTAAGTTCACAGCAGTTTTAGCCGATTTGTTGTTTCTTCTGTCAAAAGGATGGCGCAGAGCAGTGCAAGGCTTTTCTCCTGTCCACCCCACAGGCAGAAACGGAAGGGGGGCTTTCACTAGGACTCCGTCCTCGCTCCTTTCAGATCCTGTGCTCCCCAATTCATGCCATAAGGTGCCTGACCGGCTCAGAAAATACAGTTTTTCTTATTCACAAGTAGAACGGCAGATTCTCTCCGTAGCCTCTGCTCTGCCCCTGCCTCCACTTCTGCAACCAGCGGGCTGCTGTGGACGCTGCCCCCTCCTGGAGCCACCCCACGCCTGTGTCAGCCAGAGTGGACCCACCTGTGGCTTCTCCCCCTGCGCTCGGGCTGCCCTGGCCGCACAGGCTCCTCTCCAGCAGTGGTTCCGCCTCCTCGTCTTCAGGATAGTCAGCATTTTAGGGTTATTGGTTCCTATACTGCATTTAATGTTGTCTTTCTCTCGAGGGCAGCTAAGTGTATTTTCTTAATTAAATCTGAGATTTAATGACATCATAATCAGCCAAGTTCCTGATTTTCTTTTGCACTCGCTGATGCCGACGCCGCCTGGACCAACTACTTGAGTGATCAGGAAGGGCCCCGGGACAGTCTGGTGTCATCTCGTTTGAGGGTCGAGCCTAAATGCACTTAGTTCCAGGATCCCTACGCAGTCCCGGGCTCTCTGGAGAAGCCCCTCAGCCAGGGCACAGACAAGGCTGGCGAGGTTACGCGACGCACAGAGAGACGGCACCTCGGCCCGAGAAGGCCGGACTGGGGTCTGATGAAAGTGTGATGCTTACGGTGAGTGTGAGCCTCTTCCCCTGGAGCACAGGCCGCCGTCACTCGGGCTTCACGTGCTAACAGACGTAACCATTAGGGGAAGAGAGGGATCTCTTTGCACAATAAAGGGCATGGAGTGCAGGCTCACAAAGCAAGTGTAGGGAAGAGCTAAACAAACGTGTAAGGGACACTTCCATGAAGAATGATGGCAGGGAAGTGCAACTGTGAGTTTTATCTTTGCGATTTAAAGCTAACGTGATGTCAGAACGCCAGAGCCTCATCCGGTGCCGTCCCCGGCCGCGTGGGCTACGACGACATCTGAAGCAGTCACCGAGAAGACGAGCTCGGACAACATAGGACGAAAGAGTTGTGCGTCTCATGGCCTACAGGGCGTTAGTCCTAGAGCAGTGCCGGAGGTTCAGGTCATGACTGTCCTGTTACAGGTAAGCATGGAGGCTGTGCCTGGAGCCACCAGCTGGTGAGGACGGGGCTGACGCTGGAACTCGGGCTAGCCGGCTCCTCTGCTCTACCCCGCCTTGTGGGGTACAAGGGTGGAAAACTGGTAAGCCAGAAAGTAAATATAAAACTAAAAAGTTGGGGCGCCTGGGTGGCCCAGTGGGTTAAGCCTCTGCCTTCGGCTCAGGTCATGATCTCAGGGTTCTGGGATCTTGCCCTCGAGTCGGCCTCTCTGCTCAGCGGGGAGCCTGCTTCCCCCCACCCCCTGCCTGTCTCTCTGCCTACTTGTGATCTCTGTCAAATAAATAAATAAAATCTTTTAAAAAAGCTAAAAAATTATTCAAAGAAAGGGTAGAAACTGAGGTTATTTATTTCTGAAACTCACATTTTGGTGACCCCGTGAGGCCCAATGAGACACTTGGTAAAACTGTAGCACAGTGGGAGCTCTATTTTTATAAATAAAAAATTTTAACGTGCAGCTCAGGGGATGTGAAAACTTAAGCTTTATCTATTCCTTCCTCTGAAGAGATTATTTAAGCGAGTGTCATGAAACAGCCAAACCAAAGTTGTTTTGAATTGAACCTTCTTTCAATTTTATGATGCTTATGATTTAGCTAGAAAAGAAAACCTAGAAGTATTTTACTGCCTGGGTTGGAAATCCAGGTGGAACGGGGTTTTAGCAGCTTCTCAAGCATCTGTAAAAGGCCTGCAACGAAGTGAGTCTCTGGGCTTCACCGCCTCGGTGGGCCTCCCTGACCCCAGTGAACCCCTGGTGGGCAGACTACCAGGAGAATCAAGGCCCTGGACCTACCTTTTCTTCAAAGAATTTTCTCCTCAACTTGGCATCTGTGGGAGGAACCTTTCTCCTCAGGTCTTGGTACCACTTCCTGACCACGTGTCCCCTCCAGCAGGCTTGGATCCTGGAACACAGAAGTTTGACGTGACTCACTCAGGATGGCCTTGACAGGTATTTCAAAACAGGGGGAGGCCCTGGGGACGCAGTGGCCAAGGAGGGAGGCAAAACCCCTCCTTCCCTGAAAATGAGTCACCAGCCGGCGCCACAGCTGGGTATGTCGTGGGGAGGGGGATGGACCCTTCTTACCTTGTCGCACACTTTATTTTGAATAGCCGGGCTCCGTCGTGAATCACTCTGGTTTGATACTGGTTCTTTCTACAGAGAGGGCAGGTTTTTTTATTTGTGAACTTTTCAAAAGCCTGGAGGCATGCCTGAAGAAGAACATTTCACTTAAAATTTTATGAGCAATTACTTATAAATAACATTCTTACTCCTAATGTAATTATAGTGTTCTTTTCTCTCATCATTATGAGACAGTCCAGTTTGGATTATGAAGGGAAGACGTTTCATCAGATGTTAACACCTTCCTCATGAAACTTGTTCCAAAAATGAAATTTTACAAGAACATACATGCACACACATCAAAAACTTCTGAAAATCACTTGTGTCAAGATAGATGAGCCCAGGATAGAGGGCTACCATGCAGTCAGGTCACAGGAAGCCAGCTGCCACTCACTTTGAGGAATGTTAGTGACATCCCTGTGTTGCACAAACACGTGTGGTTCTTTTGTCACATAAAATTCAAAACAGGATGAATTATTCTGTAGCCTAAAGTCAGATTTCTAACTCCGAGTGGTGATTATGGATAAAATAAGTGGTTCGTCTTGGGAGATTTTCAATGAGTAAGAGCTACTCAGCTGGCACCCTGCTCACTTTATTGGGGCAGGGGGGAGCGGGAGTCACTTACTCTGTGAAACACATGTGAACATGAAAGCAGCACCTGTGCATGAGAAGACAAAAAATGTTTGAAGTTTAAATTAGTGTTAAAAGAGCAGCAGCATAAATGCATTAATTAAAAGAAAAATTCTGAATGCTTAAAAGGTAGGCTGTGTTGTTTCTTTGAAAAATTAAAACAGATTAATAACCTTGATATTTCTAATATTTAGCATTTAAGATGAACACAGCACAGGCATATAATTCAACAAGAAAGACTAAGTTAACGACAGTCTGAAACATCAAACACACGTGTCTGCTAGTAAGCGTCACAGCTTCTGAAAGAGGTGTATTCCCTGGGTAGATCCTGAGAAGGGAAGCAAGCTGGGATGTGTGTTGGGGGGGCCCAGCCCACACTGGGGTGTGGGGGGAAGGGGGAGCGGAGGGAGGGGACGGGCATCTCTACAGGGCTTTGTTCAGCTGAGCTGCAGTCCTGGAGTGCTTAGCATTGCAGTTCATTGACTGTGACGCTTAAACAGAGAGTTCCAGAAATAAGTCCAGAGACACTGGAATCATCTCTTCTTTCTCAAAAGTGGGAAAAGTATGCTCACAAGAAAATGTCACCTCTCTGTGGCCCAGAGTCCCCACCACACAGTGATACTCTGGGCCGTAGGATAAGGAGGAAGGCTGTGTGGTTCTCCCAGAACTGGGGGATGAGAGCACGATACCAATGCGGAAGGAGCACATGAGGGGGCTGATCTTCTGGTCACTGGCTTCTCTTCTCTCCAGCGTGTGGGGCCAAGAGAAGAGATGGCGGGCAAGACTTTTGGGGATGACTGAAGTCTCAGACACATTTGATGTGATTACTGATTCAATTTCTTTGCTGGTTATGGGTCTGTTGAAATTTTCTATTTCTTCCTGTTTCCGTTTTGGTAGTTTGTAGGTTTCTAGGGATTTGTTCACTTCTTTCAGGTTGCCAGTTTTTTGGCATATAATTTTTCGTAATATTCTCTTAGGGTTGTTTGTATTTCTGTGCTGTTGGTTGTGACCACTCCTCTTTCATTTATGATTCTGTTTATTTGGGACCTTTCTCTTTCTTTTTGATAAGTCTAGCTGGGGGGTTTATCAGTTTTATTAATTCTTTCAAAAACCTCTTAGTTTCATTGGTCTGCTGTTTGTTTCTAAATCGTTTATTTTTGCTCTAATCTTTATTATTTCCCTTCTTCTGCTGGTTATTGGCTTTATTTGCTTTTCCTTTTTTAGCTCCTCTTGGTGTAGGGTTAAGTTTCTCTCTTTTTTTTAATTTAAATTTTACTTAGTTAACATACAGTGCAATATCCAGTGATTTATCACTTATGTACAACACCCACTGCTCATCACAGTAAGTGCCCTCCTTAATACCCTTCACTCATCTATCCCATCCTCCCCTCTACCTCCCTCCATGAACCCTCAGTTTGTTCTCTATTGTTAAAAATCTCTTAGGGTTTATTTCTCTCTCACCCTTCCCCTCTTTCCCATATGTTCATTTGTCTTCTTTCTTAAAGTCCACATATGAGCGAGATCATATGGTATTGGTCTTTCTCCGACTTACTCAGTTAGCATAATATATTCTAGCTCCATCTATGTCATTGTGAATGGCAAGATTTCATTCTTTGTGATAACTGGGTAATATTCCTTGTGTGTGTGTGTGTACGTGTACATTTTCTTTATCTAATCATCAGTTGATGGACATTTGGGCTCTCTCCATAGTTTGGCTATTGTTGATAATGCTGCTATAAACATTGGGCTGTATGTACCCCTTCAAGTCTGTATTTTTGTGTCCTTTGGATAAATACCTAGTAAGTCAATTGTTGGGTCATGGGGTAGTTCTATTTTTAGCTCTTTTGAGGAACCTCCATATTGTTTTCCAGAGTGGCTGTACCCGTTTGCATTCCTACTAATAGTGCAAAAGCATTCCCCTTTCTCCACATCCTCTCCCACACCTGCTGTTTCTTTTGTTAATTTTAGCCATTCTGACAGGTATGAGGTAGTATCTCATTGTACTTTTGATTTGTTTCCCTGTTGCAGAGTAATGTGGAGTATTTTTTCATGTGTCTATTGGCTATTTGTTTTTGAAGAAATGTCTGTTCATATCTTATGCCCATTTCTTGATTGGATTATTTGGTTTTCGGGTGTTGAGTTTGATACATTCTTCATAGATTTTGGATACTGACCCTTTATCTGATATATTGTTTGCAAATATCTTCTCCTATTCCATCGGCTGCCTTTTAGTTTTGTTGATTTTCCTTTGCTTTTTACCTTGATGAGGTCCCAATAATTCTTGCTTCTTGAGGTAGATCTTTATTGCAATATACCTTCGTCTTGGGCCTGCCTTTGATATATCCCAAAGGTTTTAGAATGTAATATTTCCATTTCCTTCTATGTATTTTTAAAATTTCTTTTATTTCCTGGTTAAGTCATTCATTCTTCAGTAGGTTGTTCTTTGACCTCCATGCATTCATGGTCTTCCCAATTTCTTTCTTGTGGTTCACTTCAAGTTTCATAGCATTGTGGTCTGAAAATATGCATGGTATGATCTCGATCTTTTTGTGCTTCTTTAGGGCTGATTGTGACTCAGTACGTGATCTATTCTGGAGAATGTTCCATGTGCACTTGAAAGGAATGTGTATTCTGTTGCTTTAGGATGAAATGTTCTGAATATATCTTTTAAATCCAGCTGGTCTAGTGTGTCAGTCAAAGCCATTGTTTCCTTGTTTTTCTGCTTAGGTGATCTGTCCATTTCTGTAAGTGGGGTGTTGAAGTCCCCTACTATTATTCTATTATTATCAGTTTTCTTGTGTTTATTATAATTATTATTATTGCTATATTTCAAGATATTATGCATGAGCAGGGCAGAGAGGAGCAGAGGGAGAGGGAAAGGGAGAGAGAGAGAATCCACGCTGGGCATGGAATCTGATGTGGGCCTTGATCTCACAACCCTGAGATCATGACCTGAACTGAAATCAAGAGTCAGATGCCTAACCAACTGAGCCACCCAAGTGTCCTTCTTTATTAATAATTGATTTATATATTTGGGTGCTCCTAAGTTGGGGGCATAAATATTTACTTACCATTGTTAGAGCTTCTTGATGGGTAGACCCCTTAATTATGATACAATGCTCTTCTTCATCTCTTGTTATGGCCTTCATTTTAAGATTTAGTTTGTCTGGGGTGTCTAGGTGGCTTAGTCAAACATCTGCCTTTGGGTCAGTTCATGATCTCAGGGTCCAGGGATCAAGCCCCACGTCAGGCTCCCTGCTCAGCAGTGAATCTGCTTTTCCCTCTTTCCTTGTTCCCCCACCTTACCCACCGTATGTGAACACACTTTCTCAAATAAATGAATATATGAATAAGTATGACCATTCTGGCTTTTGACATCCATTAGCATGATAGATGATTCTCTGTCCCCTCACTTTCAATCTGCACGTGTCTTTAGGTCTAAAATGAGTCTCTTATAGGCAGCATATCTTATTTTTTTAACTGTTCTGATACCCTGTGTCTTTTGATTGGAGTATTTAGTCCATTTACATTCAGAGTGATTATTGAAAGATACGAATTTAGTGCCATTGTGTTACCTGTAGAGTTGGTGTTTCTGGTGATGGTCTCTGTTCCTTTCTAGTCTTTGTTGCTTTTGGTCTCTTCCCGCCCCCAACTCAAAGAGTCCCCCTTAATATTTCTTGCAGGGCTGGTCAAATGGCCATGAGCTCCTTTTTGTTTGGGAAACTCTTAGTATCTCCTTCTATTCCAAATTAGAGCCTTGCTGGATAAAGTATTCTTGGCTGCATATTTTTCCCATTCAACATGCTGAATATTTCCTTCTGCTATGTTCTGGCTTGCCAAGTTTCTGTGGACAGATCTGCTGTGAACCTGATCTGCCTTCCCTTACAGGTTAAGGACTTTTTTCCCCCTTGCTGCCTTCAGGATTGTTTCCTCATCTGTGTATTTTGTGAATTTGACTGTGATATATGTCTTGGCGATGGCCAGCTTTTATTGAATTTTATAGAATTCTCTGTGCTTCTTGGATTTTGATGTCTGTATCCTCCCCCAGATTAGGGAAGTTTTCAGCTATACTTTGCTCAAATAAACCTTCTGTCCTTTTATCGCTCTCATCTTCTGGGATGCCTATGATACTAATGTTTTTGCATTTTAATAAGTTGCTAAGTTCCTTAAGTCTACCTTGGTGATCCATTACCTTTCTTTTCCCCTTCTTTTCAGCTTTATTACTTTCCATAATTTTATTTTCTATGTGACTGATTTGTTCCTCTGGTTCATCTATCTTTGTTTTATGGCATCCATTCAGGTTTGCACCTTAGTTAATAGCATTTACCTTTCATCCTGACTGGATTTTAGTTCTTTTACTCTGCAGTAAGGATTTATCTAGAGTCTTCTATCCCTTTTTTCAAGCCCAGCTAATATCCTTAGAATTGTTTTTTATTTTTTATTTTTTTTTAATTTTATTTTTTATAAACATATAATATATTTTTATCCCCAGGGAGAATTGTTGTTTTAAGTTCTAGTTTAGACATCTTACTTATATCTGTATTGATTAAATCCCTGGCCATATTATCAACAATAGCCAAACTATGGAAAGAGCCCAAAACGTCCATCAACTTATGAATGGATAGAGAAGATGTGGTATATCTATATCTATATCTATACCTAAGAGAATATTACTCAGCCATCAAAAAGAACGAAGTCTTACTATACATATGCAATGATGTGAATGGAGTTATATTATGCAAAGTGAAAAAAGTCAGAGAAAGACAAATACCATATGATTTCACTCATCTGTGGAATTTCAGAAACAATACAGGTCAACATATGGGAGGGAGAAGTGAAAAAAGAGAGAGGAAAACAAACCTTAAGAGACTCTTAAAGATAGAGAACAAACTGAGTGTTGATGGAGGAATGGGTGGGGGATGGGCTGAATGGGTGATGGGCATTAAGGAGGGCACTTTTCATGTTGAGTGCTGGGTATTGTATGTTAAGTGATGAATCACTGAATTCTACTCCTCAAACCAATATTTCACTGTATGTTAACTAACTAGATTTGAAGAAAAGAAAATCACTGGCCATCAGTTCTACTTCTTGTTCTTTATTTTGGGGTGAATTCCTCCATCTTAGAAAACAAAGAAAAAAAAGGAAAAAAAGAAAAAACACAACTAGATCCTGGGTGTGTTTTGGTCTACTTGTTAAAAGAAGCTAGATCTAAAAAAAAAAAAAAGCAATACCAAAAAACACCACTCTCTCTCTATATATATACATATACACACACACACACACACACATTAAAAATTAAAAAGATAAAGAATTTAAAAAATTGAAAAATAAAATAAAAATATATCTTATATTTTTATATAAGATTTACATATAATATATATTTTATAATATTTAATTTTATATATAACATTCTATATAATATATAGTAATTTATTTATATATTTTATATAATTTTATATAAGATTTATATATAAAATAAATATATATTTTATATATTTTATAAACATATTTTTAATATTTATTTTATATATTACATATTATATATTTATTTAATATATTATAAATATATAAATATATAATATATAAATACATATTTATTTTTTATTTTATTATTTATTATAATAAATTATTTTATTATTTTTATTATTTTATTATTCATTATTTAATTATTTTAATTACTTATTATAATATATTTCATTATATGTTATATAATATTATATTATATATTTTATATATTTTATTATTATATAAAAATATTTTATATATTTTTATTTTATATATTATATATAATATTTATATTTATAAAAAAATATAAAAAGAAAGCTAAATCCTATTTCCCCTTAATTAAGCTTTGTAGTACTCTATGATCAGTAGACTTGGCACCTGCATGGTGTTTGTGCTGACCTTCTGGGGCAGGAGCTCGTTGCACTGACTCTCAGATGGACTTGCTCTAGTGGAAACGCACCTGCAGGGCGCAGGGGGCAGGGCTTGGTGTAAGCGCGCTAGTCTCCACTCAGCTGCACTGTACTGCTCCCTGGGGTGTTTTGTCATTGATGGGTGGGATGAATATGGCAGCGCCATGCTCTCTAGCCCTGGAACGGAAGGTTCTTGGCTCCCCCTCACTCTTCGGTGAGCCCCCACAGAAGGGCAATCAGTCACCCCTCTTGTGTTCCCAGCTTCCCTCAGATCCCTACCTTCACCCTCTGCCTGCGTCCAACCTGTTTTATCCCAGGCGGGACTGGGTTTTATCACTCCACAATTTTAGGGACTCCTGTGGCATGGAACCATGCTGTTCCTCTGGGGGAGTGTCTCACTATGCTTTTGCCATTTGCCTGGACCATGCCAGGAAAGTGGTCACAGGACCACACAGCAGTGCAGAGTTTATGGTGAGGTGGAGCAGAGAGCCGGCACCCAGACTCGGCCTGCAAGCAAAGTCCCTGCTCCTACGTCTGCAAAGAGCGAAGCACGTTGATGCCATCCGTTGTTCTCGCAACCCAGGGTAACCTCAGACCACCCTATCCACTCCTGGGTCCACCCCGCTGACCCTCCTGAGCATGTTTAAGCCAGGCATGACCCCAGCGGTGGCAGACTTCTAAAACGTGAGACTTTGTCAGATATCGCACTCTGCTCTGTATAATCCCTTGCGGTGGTCTCTGCAAACAGGGCTCCTTTCCTGCCACAGTTCCCACAGTGGCAGCTCTCTCAGATCAACTCTCTGCACCTCCTACCCTCCAAAAGGTGGCTGCTTTTCTACTTACAGACTTGTGGTTTTGTTCTCTCAGTCCTCAGACTGATTTCTTGGGTGTTCAGAATGATTTGATAATTATCTAGCTGTGTTTGAGGGACAAGGCAACCTTAGGGTCCCCCTACTCTTCCTCCATCTTAACTCTTCTCCTCATGCTTTCTAGAATAGTCTTTGGGTGTTTTATCAATAGATATTTGATTATCTGTACTGAATAACTTTATACTTCCATATATTTAAAGTATTAGACTTATACATGTCCATAAATGTTTGTTATTGGCAAATATTCTCTGCGATAACAATGATGAAGTCGTGCTAAATGCACCAAAGATGTCCTAGAAGTTGGGATTAGACTCCAGCTGACCATGCAAACATTTCCTGAGCCACCCCGCTGTGGAGTGCTAGACTTATTTCCTCATCTGTTAAATGGGTACAGAGCTCCCCTTGGTGATGTGCAAGAACTACTGGAGTCCGAAGTACTGAAATCCTCAAACGCTGGGGAAATACCGACTGTTGTGCACGAGGAAGGGAAAACCTGAGCACAGCGACAGTAACTAGCTAAAAATGCAAAATAAACACAAGTGTCTATATCTAACGAAACGGAAATAAGAATTTAGTGAGAAATGTATAAAAAACAGAATAGAGGAAATGGTGGGGATGATGTACCCTGAGCCCCCCGCTGCCCTGCCTCTCACACTCAGTGTAAGTTTTCATCTGCCACACAGCAGTCGGGCTCAATACTTACAGCACAGTAAAAAAAGAGGTTGCTGGGGCCGGAAGGACTCCGTGTGGGTCTATTAACTCTTGCTACACTAAAATACTAAATTATACTAGATGATGATTCTGTGGTTTAAGGGTTAACATTTTACGAAAATACCTAGCTTTCATATATGTAAGATTAGGTCTTGATAGAGCACTGGAATACAGTAAGTATACTTAAAATAACTTGTAAAATCAAATTAGTGAAGAACAAACGTTTTATGATTGTGAACTAACTTGTTAACGATGAAACTCATTAAAACAAATTAAGTTTGAGAGTTAAGTGTCAGGTAGAGAGTAAAGCTGGAAGTTTCCCAGGCTATAAATTTTGGGCCCGCTTTGACTCCGTTTGCTGTTTTTTTTTCCAGCAAATGTCCAAGTGCCTGCTCCGTAGGAATCACAATGCTGCACACATGGGAAACCACTGTAGGGCGGCCACTAGCTTAAAATAAAACACAAAATTCTAGCAGTGAAAGTGTCCCTAACTGCCAGGAGATGACAATAGATTAGGCAGACATAGTATGTACAGGGAAACCTATGACCAAGATTGACTGCATTTCATCTATAATGTCATCAACCTTCTTGTGGTAAAGTTTCACGAATAAAGATTATTAAAAGATTTTACTTAAAGATTCTTACACAAATTCTTTGGAGATATGCAAGCCTAGTTTTTCATTTCTTTTATCATTTCAATTCACAAAACAACTTAAAATTTCCATTTGCTTTCATTCTTCCTGCCCTGGCCTCCTCTTAGTGGTGCCTCCAGTCCCTCCTCAGCTATTTCCAGCCAGCGGAATGGAAGCATTCCTTTTGTATGAACTTTATACTTGAGAATATCATTTGGTAAATAAACAAAACTGTTTGATGAGGGTGTTTAGCTCTTTCTTACACACACATTTTAATTAATGGAAAAGAAAACGTAAAAGTATTTGAGGTCACATAGGCAGAAGAAACTAGAAAAATGAAACCTGGGATCTTAGGCTCCAGCTCAGTCTAGTTCCCAAGACTGCTTATCTGATCTTCAGGCTACACACCTGGGGGCGAAGTTCGAATTCTTCTTTGCATACCGGGCACGGCTGCGCGGAGTCCCCATGCAGGATGGATCTTTGCTTCACTTTTTCCCATTCATCTGAGGATAGTAGCGGTGGGGGAGGTTCAAAGAGGCCCAGCTTCTGTGCTGAAGTTAAAACAATACGAAACAGAAGTTGCAATCTATTTAGAATATAGAACTCAGATACAGTTTAATGACATTATTGTGTAAACAAATTTGAAAGCAAAACACCATGTACTTCCACCGAATGTTGAATGCTAATCTTCCATGGTGCATAGAAGTCAATGGTAATAATACCTCCATTTGTGGCTTATGCTTTTATTTATGAAGGATTCCCCACACCTATATCATGTTCACAATATCCTCTACAGGAGGCAGGACTGCTATCCAGTTTTCAGAAAGAAATTTGAAGAATACTAGGCTTTCACATGTATTGGCCAAAGGTTCTCACTGTTCACCTAATTTGTCTTTCAGGCTTCAGTGTTGTCTTCTGCCAGTTTAGTTTAGTTTAGTTTAGTTTTTGCCACCAGTGACCTTCACAGAATGAGTATCTGTCAGGTTCTTCTCTTGCTAAAAATTCTTACGATGTATAATTATTGTTAGGATCAATTCCTTACTTCAGCAATATTTGAGAGCCCACCATGTGTCCCCTCTGCGTCAAGCATAACTTACATCCCAGTAGGAGCTGCCGCAGCTGGGGCACAGTGCTGGCAGGGTGCGAGCACCAATGTCCACCCTCACACCACCCCCAAATGAGGGAATGGGTACAGTGCCACCCTGTGGGCTCTCTTCAGATAGAAAGTGAAGTGTTACATCTACAAAACAAGAACAGGAAGTTGTACCAGGAACATTCAAAGTACAAAAAAGAGCTCTTAAAAATAAAAAATATTATAGTAGAAATGTGAAAGTCAACTCAAATACTGGAAGAGAAAGTTAAAGTAATCTCATAGAAAGTAGGAAGATGAGATAACGCAGGAGACAGAAGATAAGAAAACTAAAGGACCAGACTAGGAGGCCTGACACCTGAAAGACAGACATTCCATAAAGAAAACAGAAAATCAAGAGTAAAGATCTTAAAATAGCCTAAAACATTTCCCACAAGAGGATGTGAGTTTCTAGTTTGAGAGGCCCCATTGAGGCCCAGAACAAAGGATTCACACCAAATCCCACCACTATGAAACATCACAGCTGTAGGGACAAAAAGCAGATTTCAAAGTTTTGTGTGTGAGAGACACAACAGGTCTCAAAAAGGGTCAGAAGTCAGAATTAGATCAGACTTACCAACAACACAGACACGAGAAGGCAAATCTTTCAAAATTCTGAGAAGGACTCCCATACTGAAATTCTTTATTAGCTATCAATGGACTATTATAGGATAAAGCTATCTTTGTGCCCATAAGCTTATAGATTGGTCTCTTCTGCACTCTTTTCCAGGAAGCTGCTGGAGGAGTGGCTTCACCCCAATGAGGGCATAGACAAAAAGGGGAAGCTGTACGATCAGAGAGAGAGGAGCTAATGCAGGAGAACCAAAGGGTATTAGCCCACAGGGTGATGCCAAGAAGACATCCAAGGCTTATGGCTCTGTGCCAGTCCCACAGAGCAACTGGGCCATAGGGGAGCAAAGTAACGGGAGGTTTTAGAAGGAATGTCTCCACAAAGATGAAATCGGATCACCCACTCTGTTTCAGTGTATGGAAAGAATATACTTCTGAGATTTGGGGGAATGAATTTTGGGCCTTTTTATGCCAGTTATTAAGACATATTACAAAACTATTATGAATTAAAACAGTAAAATCCTGACATAGAAACAGAATCACCTAATCATACATTCTGACCCTTCCTCCCTCTCTTGCATGAACTTGGAAAACTTGGGAAAGGCAAAATGTGGTGCTGCTGGTCAACCAAGAAAGGACAGAGGGTGCTTTTAGGGAAAAATCTAATGTAAATTTTTCTATCAATTGGTTTTGCAAATACTGTATGCAAAATAAACTGTGATGAGGTCTAAATGTGAAAGGCGAACTGTAAAGATAAACAAAATGTGGTTTTGAAAACCTTTGTGATCTCAGAATGGGTAAGGATTTCTTAAATCACCCAAAGCATAAACAATAAAGAGAAAAACTTATGGATTTCACAGTAATCAGAATGAAGGTTTTATTCAATATAAAATAACACCTAAAATTAAAAGACCGTGCCAGACTGAGAGGTCTCTGTGGCTCCATCAACAAGGGATTAGTATGTAGAGTACATAAAGAGCTCCACGAAATCAGCAAGAAGAGACCTAAGTGCAATACGATGTATAGAGAATAACGAAGAGCATATGGTTCAACAGTTACTGGTAGCTAATATGCATAATAGTTAAAAATTCCTTTTTCACAAAGAGCTCCTGGAAAAAAAACTTATTTACTCTTTTTAACCTCACTCTTTTTCCAAATTAGGAAGTTCTTCCTGATGTCTAATTTAAACCTTTCCTGCTAAACTGACTATGATGATCATCTAGTTGGTTGTCTCCATAAATTATATATGCACAAGAGACCCACTACATGACTGTGTCACATTCTTCCCAGCGTCTGCATGTTCTCGGGCTGTGCCATTTCCTAGAAGACAAGTAGCACTGTCTGCAGTGCAGCGGGAAGTTATGAGTGTCCACTGGTCTTGCTGCAGCCACAGGCTCCCCTTACATCGTGCTGCAGCCCGCAGGCTTCCCTGGGCCTCCTGCAGCCATCACACTTGCATGAGGGCACAGTGCCCCCCGACAAACCTAGTTTCCATGCCCAGCATCGTGTAAAAATCTTTTCTATTTCTAAATTTACCATTTAAAATAATTTGAGACTCGCAAAAGGTTGTAAAGCCAGAATAAGGAATCCTCATGGGGCTGTTACCCACCTTTCCCAAATGTTAGTATTTTCATATCCCTAGTTCAACGATCAAGGTGAGGAAATTAACATTGATCTAACACTGGCAATTAATCTGTACTCCTTACTGGATTTTGTTCTTGTCTCATGGAAGTCCTTTTTTTGGACTCAGATTACACATAGCACTCAGTTGTCATGTCCCCTTCTTTCCTTGTATCTGGGACAGTGTCTCTCTCCTCATTTGCTTTCCTTGACTTGATACTTTTGAAGAGTACTGGCCAGGAAGTGTGTAGTTGTGTAGTGTTTCCATCAATTTGGGTGAGTCTGATATTTCCTCATGGTTAAATTCAGATACGCATGTTGGGAAGAATACCCTGGAGGGGATGCTGCACCTTTCTCAGAGCATGAGATCGGGGGGCATGTCAGCGTGTGTCCCTTTGGTGATGGCACTTGGGTCACGTGGTCAGGGTGCCGCTGGCACCGGGTCCCCGGTAGTTGGTGGCTGTGCTTCCGTCTGCGATGTGTGAGCACGCTGGGAGGCCGTACCCACACCCTGTGTCTCAGCAGCCACTGATGCTTGTTCTCACTGTGCTGTTGGCCGGATGGGGATTTTCTATTTCTGGCCCCATCTATGTATTTATCAGTTGTCATTCTACTGTAAGAGAGAACTTTTTCTTTTCCATTATTGATTAATTTCCACCCATGTGGATTAGTGGATATTGATTGTATTCTACTATTTTTATTTTTATGTAGTTCTATCTTTACTTTCTTGCTCATATCATCCCCATCATCATTTTTAAACTTTAGTACATACATTCTTTCTGTAAGATTATAAATTAGAATCATTTCTCTTCCAGGAAAAATTATAGTATTAATCTCAACTAGATTCCTTAGCTCTAATAAGCCAAAACATGAATGAAAAGATTAACTTACCTAAAGTTAATGGTGGTGGTTTTGGATCAAGAACATATTCTTTTTCTAGATCTTCCACTTTAGGGCCTTGTATAGTTTTCTTAAGTCCAGTATCTATTATTGCTTTTGTGTTTCTTTTTAGAGATTTGGATCTGTTTTCTCTCTTTTGTACCTTTGTCTTAGAATGATCTGCTATTGAAAGATTTCGAAGTTGAAGATCATGTAAAATGTGATCTTGTAAAGCAACTGCAGTGACTGCTAAGTTATCTTGTTTAGATGAATGACCCTAAAAATTAGGGGAAAAAGCCTTATTTATGGAACATTTTGTAATATATCATTTGGAAGAAACCTTAAGCTTTAGTACTCAATCTGGGTGAGATACTAGACCCAATGTAATGGTGCAGGATGCTTGACCCACATTACAGAAGTGTGTGAAAGCCCAGTCTCCTCATTTATGTTGGTGACACAGTAGTGTCTCTCCAACTGTTTGCAAAGGTCTTAAATATATGAATTAATTCATTATGACCTATAAAAGCTGTGCATGCCTGAACACATTCTGCTTTACTACAATTAAATTAGACTCCAGGCAAAATCTTGGTTCTGTAATATGAAAGCGAATCCTGCGTTTAAGTACATGCTCTTTTGGCAAAAACTTAACACAGAATAAAACTGCTGGGCACCTATGACATGCTTGCAATCGGTATATGGTGGATAGTTCCTCATTGGAGCAAGGTTTACAACTATATTTTTATACTTTAAAACAGCTGAATTAAAATGCATGGAGCACTGGGTGTTACAGGCAAACAATGAATCATGGAACACTACATCAAAAACTAATGATGTACTGTATGGTGACTAACATAATGAGAAAAAAAGTACAATGAAAATACAAAGAAATAGTCATGAGTAAAACAGTGTTTGTTTTATTTAAAAAAATTTAAAATTTAAATTCAATTGATTAGCACATAGTGTAGTATTAGTTTCAGAGGCAGAAATCGGTGACTCATCAGTTTTATACAACACCCAGTGCTCATTACATCGTGCCCTCCTTAATGCCCATCCCCCAGGAAACCTAGTCCCCCACCCTCCTTCCCCCTCCCCACCAGCAACCCTGTTTATTTCCTATGATTAAGAGTCTCTTATGGTTTGTCTCCCTCTCTGATTTTATCTTGTATTTTTCCCTCCCTTCCCCTTTGATCCTTAACTTCCACATATGAGTGAAATCACATAACTCTCTTTGACTTATCTCACTTAGCAGAATCCCCTCCAGTTCCATCAACGTGATTGCAGATGGAGAGATTCATTGAAAAGACTGTTTTCAAACAGGATTCTGTACCTTGTTTTTTGACATGCTGAATCAGGCACACTTGCTCCTCGGCTCTATCAAGTTATATCATCTTGTCACATTCCTTTAATTCTTCCACTGTAAAGACAGAAGCAACAGGAAGTCCAAGTTAGAGAGCGTGTCAACATCTCTTATGAAGTCCGGAGGGAAGATCCGTTTGAGAGTCTGCCGGATACGGGATGCCCAGAGAGCACCGATCTAGGCGACGCACTGGATTCCAGCGGGACTCACGCCAGTCGTGACGGGAGGGGCCCCGCCATCCAAGGTCCAGCGGGCTGGAGGCAGCATATGGACTGGAAGGAGAACATCCATTGCTCAGATAATGTTACACATAAATACGTACAGCAAATTTGAAACTGAAAAGATCAGATAATAGTTAAGTGAAATACTTTTTTTCAAGATTTTATTTGAGAGTGCACGCAGAGGGAGCAGCAGACTCCCCGCCGAGCAGCGAGCTCCATGCCAGCTGGACCGCAGGACCCCAGACGACCACCTGGGCCGAAGGCACATGCTGCCCCGACGGGGCCCCGCGCAGCGCAGTCAGTGAAGCGCGTCTCAGGGAGAGAGCACTGACACCGGGATGTGCAGGTCAGAAGAGAGGGATGGGACATACGACACTCCGGGACAGAGCGGCATGGGCCCTCCGGAGCGCGGCGCACGGTTGTGGGGAACCGCGTGCGCCCTGGGGCACACGGTGTACGGGCCGCCGGCGGTCGGTCTGGGACACTCAGGACAGGCCGCAGGGGCCGACCTGGCGTCCAGCCTCGCTCTGGCTGCGCCGGACACAGGCCGCCTCGGACCGTCAGCCGCGTCCCCAGGAAACAGCGTGACGACACAGTCCCCGATGAAACCGCTGTGTGCAGCTCCCGAGAAGGCCTCCGTGCAGAAGACACGCTGCAAGCGCTGGTTCTGCCCCGGGTCCCCGTGAATCCCGCGGAAGCAGCGACCTGGTCCGTTCGGCTTCAGGCAGGTGCAGCGCCCGAGGACGAGATGGAAGCGAACAGCCGTGGCCGCGGGGAGCTCGAGACGCGGCCGTGAGGACCAGAGGGACCCGGACGCGCATCGGGGTCGGACACGGGCCTCCGGCCGCTGCGGGCTGCACACGTGGCGGCGGCGGACACAGCTGCTGGGCGTCCCTCGCAGGAACCCGCCAGCCGCGCTCCCCGCGTCCTCACTGCACTCGCGGTCCCTTCTGGCCTCAAGGCGCGTGTGAGAAGCCTCCGCCCGTGTCATCGGGGCGGCGCCGACCGCACACGTGGGCCGGGGTCTCCAGACCGCTGGGGGCCCTTCCAGAACCTTCCTTGCGCGCCCGGCCGCCAGGGCTCACGGCCCGCCGGGCGTTCCTCCGCACGGGCCGCAGTTCCCGCAGCTTCTCCTCCGGGAGCTCTGACAGCTTTGCCCCGTCACGCCCGCGGCATCCCGATGGCTCGGGGGGCGCGTCAGGTCCTCGTGTCGCTTGGCCGTCGGCCGCGGCAGTCCTCGCGCATGGGGCGGAGCCGGCGTCGGGGGCGGAGCCGGCGTCGGCGTCGGGGGCGGAGCCGTCGGCCGCGGCAGTCCTCGCGCAGGGGGTGGAGCCGGCGTCGGGGCGGAGCCGCCGGGGGGGCGGTGCCTTCCGGTGCGTAGCGACCCGCTGTAAACCGCGCCTGGGCTCGGTAGCGACGGCGACCACCGGCGGCCCGTCGCGGTGGCCCTCCCTGGTGTCTGGACCAGTCGCCCCGAGCGCCCAGCGCGCCCGGATTCCCACGCTCTCCGGGACCCCTACCTGCGGGCGCCGCCCGGTCACCACGTCCGGACACCGTCCCCGCCTTGGCGCCCTCGCGAGAGCGGCCACGATGAGCCCGCGGTGCTGCGGACCGAGGACCCTCTCCGCGGCTCCTCCCTCCCCGCTCGCTCCGGCAGCTCCCGCACCGACCCCGACCCGCGGCCTCCGCGCCGCTAGCCGTTGCCCAGCAACCCGGTGCGCATGCTCAACCGCCGCGCCCTGCCCCTCGCGGCCACACCGCGCATGCTCGGCGGCTCTGCCCCGCGCCCCCGACCTCCCCGGCCTCGCGGGCCGGGCGCTCCCACGCGGCGCACGCTTCCCGCCCCACCCCGCGCAGGCCGCCCCGCGGTCGCTCGCGCCCTGGGTGGACGTCCCCGAGCCGCAGGCACCTGGGGTCTCGGCGCGTTGGACGGGCTCTCAGACGCCCCGCCGAGCGCCGTTACCTCGGTCCGTTCCGGGCGCGTGTGCACCTGTCGGCTCACGCGTGCTCAGGTCGCGGCGGGTACCCCCTGCTGCGGGCACCTGCGGGGCGCCTCCTCCCCCGCAGGGCCCTGCCTGCACCTGCCGGCGTCTCCGGGTGCTTCCCTGCGTTCCGCGTCCTGCTCCCGTGGGCGCCGGCCTGTTCGGACTGGATGCCTCGCACAGCTCCGCGTCCCTGCGGGCGTTTTCACGGCCCTGGCGTGGGGGCGCAGAGGGAGTCACGTAGGGGCGGGGGGTTGACGCCCGAGCGCCGCGGGGTCCCCAGGACCCGAGCCAACTGGAGCACTTTCGGGGGGCCGCGTGGGAGCTCGGACGCGGGCGCTGTGCCCTGCTCCCCGCCCCGAGCTGGCGGCCGGCGGAACGCGGCGGGAGACCCCAGCCGGGCCTTCAGGGTTCGCCTGGCGCCGCGTGGGGCCTCCTGCGGGCCTTGAGTCTGTGTCCGCGGACCCGCCGGGGGCCTGTTCACTCGTGGCCTGGAAACCCGCCTCACGTGGTTTCCCTGCGCTCGAGGACGGCGGCCCCAGGGCGGTGGGTCCACGCGTTCCGTCTGCCCCTTTAGCTGTTGGTCTGGTCCCTAAAACTCCGTCATGGCCAGAAGCAGAAATTAGTAGACGTTCGTCTTTTTTTTTTGAATGAAGTGACTCAATTGTGTTATTTAAACTTATGTTTGGACGGTTACTGAAATAAAGTTCAGCTGAAAGTATAAAGAAGACATGCAAAATGCAAATAGTTCCTCTCCCCGCCCCTTTTTACTTCTCTGAAAGTTCTACGGAAGTTACCAAGTTGAGTAGAAATTGATCATTGGTCATTAAAAGACCTTAAAGTGAAAATGTCTGACATGACTTTGGAATAAACAGTCTTCTACTGTGAAACAAGGTTACTTGAAGCTCCGCTTCTCCTGTTTTCATAATGCAATTAAATTTCCTAAGCTGGCCAGTCCTGTTTGGAAGTTTTCAAAAGACAGACTAAAAACAAGCTAAATTTTTTTTGAGAAACCAAATTAAGTTCATAATTAAGTTAATTTTTAAGTTATTTAAACTTTTCTAACAAATATTGTAATCTTGATTTATGTTGCAGTGGTAATGGGCCTAGAATGCATTTAGGGGTCTCTCTGTGGACCTGAGAGTTTTTCATTCTGTGACTGAGTGTTAGAACTGTACAGAGGACACGGTGAGAAAGCTTTGGGTTTAGATAGGTAGATCTGAGTTCAGATCTAGTCTGACTTCTTAGGGGTCTGAATTTGCGAAGTTACTTCATTTTCCGAAATTATGGGTCCCTTATACATAAAGGGGACATTTTTTACTTCTCTTGTCAACATCTGCCCGCCCTTTAGCAATAGCCCTGGGGATTCATCAGTTCTAGGATGGAGCATATGACCGGCCTGAGGTAGTCAGAAATCAGTGTCCTGGCCACACTGACACAGCTGGTCTGGGCATGTGACCTAACGGGGCCACTCAGGTGAATTCAGTATTTTTGTGGGAGCAACTGGAAAATTCTTGTAATTCTTCCTACTGATGTAGAAACGAGAAGACGTGAAACTAGAGCTGTGCCAGCTCTCCTGTCATCCCAACGTGAGAGCTGGTGCTGTGGGGCCAACCCGTGAGCTGTAGAAGAGAATCACACAGGAAACCGCACAGATCGGGACAGGGACCAAGCCCTGGCAACATAGCTAGTGCCGCGAAGCCAGCCCCACTCAGTGATTTTACCTCCCTATGTGGCTAGGGTTCCCACATGCTTCAGCAGGCTTGGGCTGGTTTTCTGTTACTTGTAACAGGAATAATTTGAATGGTAAGTGGGGGTCCTGTTAACCACCTGACGCCTGTGGTTAGATTAAAAACCGTCTTATGGGGGCAACTGGGTGGCTCGGTGGGTTAAGGCCTCTGCCTTCAGCTCAGGTCATGGTCTCAGGGTCCTGGGATCGAGCCCTGCATGGGGCTCTCTGCTCAGCGGGGAGCCTGCTTCCCTCCTGCCCACCCCCCCGCTGCCTGCTTCTCTACCTGCTTGTGATCTCTGTCAAATAAATAAATAAAATCTTAAAAAAAAACCCATCTTATGTATATGAAGTGCTTAGTACAGTGCCTGCTACTCTCTGTACCCATATTAAGGTATCTCTCTTCAACTCCATAAAGTTCTAAGAAAAATCTCCATTAAAAATTTCCCCCTTCCCTCCGAGTGTCTAAAATCTCTCAACAGTTTTACTCCCAGCATGTTTTCCATCCAAAAGACATTGGTCTTTCTTGTTAGCTACATAGAATATTTCTCTGCAGGCTTTTGCTTGGAAATTCAAGCTTCTGATTAATACTTTGTAATTCTTGACAAAATCAATGCTGACGTGGTTGATGTTTGAAGAAGATGCCGTGGGGAGCGCGTCCCTTATCCTTCCTCCAGGTGGTATGTTCTGTTCTTGGTCTCACTCCCAAAAAGTGCTCTTGATGATTTATTAGTGTGACGGCATTAGTGTTTCGTTTGTCTAAAGATGGGCCTAAGGTACTGCACGTTGGTAGACTATGTTTGCATTTTCTAAAAACCCGGTGGTGTGCTGTTGTGTGCTTTGCAAAAGCACTCATGTGACCTGTTTATTTTAGGGTTTCAAGACACGAATTGAACGCTCTGGGAATGATCCGAAGAGAAAGGCTGAAGAAGACAAGACACAGGTAAGGGTGTACGTAGAGGACCAGAGGTGTTTGGTTGCTCTGTTCAGTCACACAGAGAAGGGAGGGGATGTGCCTGGGATGAATGGCCTGCACGCATGTGCTCCGCCGTGTCTAAACAGTAAGCTGTAGTGCCTGGCGCCATATTAAAGAGATG